CAGACAGGGAAATGAGAGGCTTTGACACTCTGAATCTCTCACCTCGAAGAGCCTGAGCAGAGCTCTACATCCCTCTGAGTGTTTGTTGATGCTCCACACCCAGGCCTGTTTCCAGCCATAGTGGTCTAGCAGCCCTGTGCCTTTGATGGCAGCAGTGTCAGGTGAAAAATTAGGCCTACCTACCCAGAAATGATGCAGGTTTTGTAGTGCCTGTCCCTGAATCTATCCAGAAGTATTATGTGTTGGGGAAAATAATCTACTTCCCTTATGCCTGCACTCAGACCATAAACCTAGAGCTCTAGCTACCAAATAACTTTTGTAAATAGTGATCTTTCGAGGGGAAAAAGTTGGTCCAAGATGTAGTATTAGGAGTCATTTACTTTAGAAAAAAAAAAAAGTAGTTTTAGCTAATTCAATCCCAAACAGTAAGGTTATGCAAAACCTTATGACCAGAATGCAAAACCTTAAAACCAGAATAAAGTTTTTGCTGGAGAAAGATTACCTCTAAACTTTCCCTTTAGAGCCCTTTCCAAAACCACAGATGCAAAGTAATGCCAAACAAACAATGGTGTTGAAGTGACCTGTGTGGAAATACTACCTTTTCCTGAGATCAACTCCTGATGTGGTTTAGTGCAGGTATGGCACCAGCTGAAGAACTCTAACACATGTGCCCCAATGCCTAAGTATGTCCTCATCCAACTATATGCAAATGACTTAAGGTCAGAGGAGGAAAAATATTAAGTTTAGTTTTCATTCTTTTTTATCAGAGACTGCAAATTCTTTGGGTCAGGATTGAGTTGTTTTGCGCTGGGTGGGTAGTACCTTGATCTAGGGATACCCCAATCTCTAAGTCTTTCTATACTTGTCTCTAGCACAAGTAATCATTAATGTTACTTCAGTGTAAAAATGACATCTTTCTGAATTAGTTAGCTTTTCAGAAACAGACAGGAACACCACTAGTTTATGTTTTGCTATGTTTGAAAGCATGCAATTAGACACAGAGCTTACAAACATAAACAAACATTCCCATCCAGCCTCCATGTTTCTAAAAAACCCCAGGTTTGTTTAGACAAGAGGTTGATAATCCAGTTTGAACACAGGTATCTGAATGCTGTGACAGCTTCTTCATAATGCTCAGCTTATGGTACATTAAACTTTAAAGCAAGATAAACTCATGCTTTCATTTTATCAAACATCTACCCAGACAGCAAAAGGAAAGACACAAAGCAATGTTTGCAGCTACAGCCAAGCATGGGATATCCAACTCAGCATATGTTTGAAATGAAAATGAACAATATGTTGCATAGATATACTACTCTATTTTTCAATAGAGAATATCACTGGGATTTGTAAATGTTAACCTCTTTCTTTCCTTAAGAGTTTGGTTTTATTTCATGCCTAAAAAAAAACCAAAACCTGAGATTCACAGAGATTAGGCAAATAGACACAGCAGTGCTTGCAATTGAGAAAGAAAGTGTTCTTAAAAGAAACTGCTCTGGTAATCAGTTTGGGTGGAAGAAATCACAGGGGAGGACACAGACAAGACATTTTTTAAGAGCACTAAGTGTTGCGCCGCTGGTATTACTGAACTTTGGTAGTTAGCCATATTATGCCTTTTTGTGGTCAATAAAGCAGCAACCTGTCTATCACAATAATAATGATGTAGTAACAGACATCCAAGAATCCATGATAAGAAATCTGCAAGAAGAGACTTTTACCTACAGAGAACAAATAGCAAGAATGGAGAGGGTAGCAGATGACTAAATCCTTCAGGAATGGGGGATAGTGAAGAGGCTTGAGCAGCCTCTTAATTTAACAGATTACCAAAAAACCAACTTCCCATTCAAATCCAAATAGACTATGTACCCAAAAAGCTTCACGGCTCTTTCTGCTCCCAACATTTAATCGACTACCTTACAAAGCCTCTCCTTAGAGCTGACTTAAGGTCGTGTAGAAGACAAACACTGAGAGGTTATAGTTGCTTCCATTGATTTAAAATTGACATATTGCACTACAAGCATCACCTTCATATTACACTGACAACAAGTCATGAGAAATCAGAGATGTGCTATTACAAAATTTGTTATAAAGAGTTATTGATGACCTTCATTGTACCATAAATAACAGCCTAAAAATTATCAAATCATCCAAGTTTCTCCCTAAGACTTGAATCTTTCCTGTAAGTTTATTTATATGCAGCTACAGCCTTCCTCCCTTTCCCAATCAACCCTTTCTTCTCTCCCTCTTTCATATGACCTCACCATACCCAAAAATGTGAAGAGATTGGTCTTATCACAGTTTAGCAAGATACCACTTGCCAGCTGAACTGTGACAAATCCCAGCTGGCCTTACAATACATACACTCACAGGGACTGAGGCTGAGCCCATGGACAGCAGCTCAAGGCTGTCATTTAAACCACTGAGCACCCTCATCCACGAAAATCGTGCTAAGGAAAGAGCTCAATAACACCAATGTTGCCATGACCACGTTCCTATTCTAGTGTGCATTAGATCTTTTTACTCTCTCCTCTACCTGCAACTGCCTTCTGTTGAGCCTTACTAAGCCTTTTACAGCCAACAAGGTGGACAAACTGCTTGTTCTTTATATTCACACAACAGTTGACACAAGATGACCCCAATCAATCATACACTAACAAAATAACAATAAATAACAAAATTTACAACTGCAAATATTCATTCCTCCCTTTCCCCAGGACTGCCCTTCTGAAAAGACACAATCCTGGAAGAAAAAGCTAAAAAAAAAAAAAAAAATTCAGCAGTTATTGAAAAATTAGGATAAGGCTTATAAAGAAAACCCCAAAGGAACCTTAAGAGTTATTACATTATTATTACTCCTGCCATACACAATACTCCTGTTTTCTAACTCCTAGAAGAGCCAGATAATCAGGTACACAACACAATTGCAATAAAAACATTCTCTAGAATTAGAGACCTGCCTTTATATTAGTAACCATTTTACACACCGTTTAAATAATTCCTTGAACCCAAGGTTTCAGTCATGAATAAAGGAAGATGTGAGCATGCATTGAGTTTTACTGATTTGTTTAAACACGCAGGTAGTATAAAAAATTTCAACAAAATAGACTCAAATTAGAAAGTTGAGAAGTTTGAACAACTACCACACTTGCAGATGTGTTTCAAGATTTTAACCTTACAGGCGCATGCACTGCACTTTACTGAGATAAATAGATGTGAACAGCTCAGCCATCAGGAAACCTACCAACAGCCCATGGCTTATTTTATTGCAAGTTTAGTCATTGCCAGCTTCCCATTGAAAGAGTGATCTGTAGGCACCCATATTTAACAAGATACTTAAAAATAAACTTGAATCTGTAGATCAACAAGTTTGGTTAGTAGTAACCATTGGCAGTTACAAGTATAAAACACTTTTCCTGTATAAAACTTCTGCTGCCTTTTCTTGATGCTTTTCACAGAGCTCACTTTCAGCCAGGAAAGCAGACACACTGAATGGGGTGTCTCTACTGTTAGACAATTTCCCACCTCACTGCTAAGTTGAACTTTTTGAAACTTTTATGGTAGGCCCTCAATTTAGGAGTAACTGACCACAGCCACGAGTCTGGTTTAACTCTGCAATTAGAGTTAGCTTTGTTAATGGCAAGACCAAATGTGCACTAAACCACCATGTCTTAACTTCAAGGGGAGGAACAGCCTTTCCTAAACTGAACCAGAAAATGGGGCCCTGGGCAAACACACACCAGACGGTGCCTAAGATTTACAAGGAGCAGTTCCAGGTCTTTGGAGATCTCGGCACATCTGGACATGAGCTATGTGGAAGTATCAGGCTATTTCAAATGATTCACAGGTGGCCAGATCTCACCAGCTGATCTGCTGCTTTTCTGAACTGTGGATGTGCCTCTGTCCTCCCTCTCTCCCCCTTAAGCTCCCAAAGATGCACAGGTCTACAGGTGAACAACATGGTCTTAATGGAGCTACTGTTCTTTTTCCCAATAAAATTCAGAGGATGTAGGACTTAGATATTTAGAATTATTTGGGCATCTTGTTAAGAAAGATCTTGTTAAGAAAGCAGGCTCACCCACCTATTTGATACAGCAACACACATCAAGTACGGGTTTGACTCTTTTTAGTCTCTCTAGATCCTCTATGAACACAGAAGGAAGTTTAAGAAAGCTCAACAGGGTGAAAGAATAACAAAATATATGCGAAGTGATCTGTCATTTACATTGCTGCCAGAGTTCTGCTAAACTAATGGTGCCATCACTATTCTCTTCCAGATTAGCTTTGGATTTTTGCTGGATTATTTTTTTCTGCAACAGTCCGTAAAACCTTTTATTGAACACTCATACAATTGAGAAAAGCCCCATTATTTTACTGGAAGGCAGGATTTGAAGATAAATGCAAGTGAAAAGTCAGGAAAACACTCCCAGTTCAGCTAATATAATTTCTGAAAGAAATTGTCAGGATAGGGGGGAGGTTGTTTTTTTTTTCATTTCAGCACAGCTTACTGCATTGCCTACTGTGCTAACCATTACAGCTGCTGTTATTCTGATTTGTGTCTACTAGTCAGTGTGGAAAGAACAAGAGAGGAAATTCAAGCAGCAGTTAAAATAAGCGTCTGTACGCTTCAGCCAAAGAACAAGTGTGCAGCACAGTAGAGAGAAGAGGTCCAACAAGTACTTGGTTTCTTTTTGACCTGTACCAATGTTCCTGCTGCCCAAAGAAATTAATAGGAAACCAATAAATAAGTTCTTAACTTAGAAGACAATTTTTGTTAGCAGTTGGTAAAGCACTTACAAGACAAGATTGCAAGGAGAAAATTCTCTAAAAGCATAGTGAGTTTTGTGAGTATTTATTGCACTCTCTGCTTGCAAACCAATCCCCCTCCATTTCCCTCCTAGGAAATTACCTTCCAGCTTCCCCTCATGGATGAGACTCTAGAGATGCTGGGTTTCAGCAGGGTTTGTGTGTGAAGTGCATCCCATCTCACCGCTATCACTTACCAATACAGCAGGACCAGGAAGACTGCCAGCAAAGCCAGGGTGACTGTGGTACTGTTCATTTCTAGGGAGACAAGTGCCAGAAGATCTACAGGCTCCATTTTCCTCCACTACAGCTCCAGCCTTGAGTGCTGTGTGCAGGGGAAAGCCTCCACAAGGGCTGATAAAGCCTTCCACAGCTAAATGAATGACATCTGCAACAAAACAGGAACCGAGAGAGCAAAAACATGTCAAGCACAGACTGCAAACCTTTCCTCTTCTCATGAACTGCACACTCTGAGACAGAACTCAAAGGTTCCCTGAATGGCAGAATGTAGCAATTTCCCCCCTCCCACTGTTGTTGACTGTCATGCCAGTAAATATTTACATAGCCACTGCTTGAGACATCAGCGTTGCTGAATAGGTTTTTAGACCTCAAGTATGGGAATCTGGGGAATGTGTAGGGAAAATAAATGGAAATGACAGCCTGACCATGTTACAGATCGTGGAAGAAAAATATAAAGGCGCTTCAGGGGTGCCCTAATATACGAACAGTGGAGTTCACTAAAGTTACTAAAATAGAGCATTTTTTCAATATGAAACTTCATAAGCATTTCATTTCCAAGCTGGTTATAACTTGTAAGAATGGAATAAGTAAACTTTAAATTACCACAAATAAAAGGAGGAATTAGAGGAAAGCTGGTCTAATGAGATTTCTAGAATGCATATAAAGAAAGACCAAATGAGCAGAAACCCCAAATTTCTGGGGTAGTATCAGATCCATAAGTCAGTATCTGCCACACTGGTGAGTCCACATAGACAGCACTGTTTGGCTGTATCATCTCAAGTTCATGAGGGCTACAGCAAATTTTCCTGGCTCAGTGCACTGTCCCCCTTCGAGATATCACTAACCAGTCTCTCCAGAGATACTTTGGCTACCCCTACGTTGTATTTCTAGTATCAGGTTTAACACCAATATGGTAAAATCTACTATCTCTGCACTGTGACACAGTCAGGTTGCCACAGCCCCTAGAACAACCTGCACACAACAATCAAGTTTTGACTGCAGTTCTGGAAATTGTTTGTTCACTGTATATGAATTCTTCAGCTTTCTTCCATATTTTCCTGCCTGCAAACCTCAAGCCTGTTTTAAGCATCTGTTCCAGTCCAGTTAGAAAGGTAAAGCAATGTACACACCTTGAAGCACTTGTACGAGAGAAGTCCACCAACCTGTTATACACAAAAGTAACCATTCCATGATCAAAAAAATCTTCAGGACAAAAACATCAGAAGCAGCAGCTTGCACATAAATACCTCTGCCCATGACAAAATTCCCTGAACTGTCTAGTATTATTTGTTACTTATGAAACTACAAACTCTCATATACATGCTTCAGAGTTTCCACCTATCATAAACAACCTATTTGAAAGATAAGGAAATCAATGCTATGCAAAAACTTGGTTTGTGAATTATATAGTAACCTTGAGAACCAGAAATTCTGTAAAATCTGGTTCTCATAACACACCTGATAAAGAGTGGTTTCCTCTCTTACTACCCCAAGACAGTAGCTTAGATTTAATGTGCAAGGCTTCTCCAATATCACTGTATTACACTTCCTGCTTTTATCAGAGAAGTTAATAATATAGGTATCAAAAAAGTAAAGTCTTTAACACAATGGAGTTTAATTTTGAGAAGATTTGGCTCTCCTCTAAGTGAATCACTGCTATTTTGGTTCTCCGTGCTTCACAACTGCATTAATTCCCTTCGAGCCTCAGATCCTTACAGAATAAGTAAAAGGTGTTAACCAGCTCATCAGCGCTGCAGAATAGCGAGGAAGCTCACAGAAAACCTTGCTTCAGGTATTAACAACTCCACTGCTATTCTAGGTCAATAACAGCTCTGATGGTTTGCTGCTGCTGCTGGAAAGTTCTGCAAGAACAACTGCAACAAGATTCAGCACCAGTGACACAAGGAATTAATCAGTGGGCACAAGCTAATCCCAACTAACAAGCAATCCTGTGGGACTTTCAGAAAAAGAAAAAAAAATCACATATTGATATACATCAAAGTATTTTCTATAAGACTTTTCTTCTTTTCTTTTCTTCTCTCTTTTAGAAAAGACTTGTCTTTTCTTCTTATACCACAAGGGTAGAAGACAAGAAATAATATTCCAATTTCACTTTAATTTATTTGACTTTTTAATAAAAGGCAATTTTCTGCACATAGAGGACAGATGTTCTCTTATTAAAATCAACTGCACTACTCCTATCAGCACACACAGGTCAAGTAGAAACCTCACTTGTTTTTTAAGAAGCACTGGAGTCTTTTCCCAGTCACACTGAGACAGGAGGTATGAATAGCTCTTAAACATATGTTTAAGAAAGAAAATAGGATCTCACATCAGAATCCAGTTTGGAAAAGAACACATAATCAAGCCTCTTTTTTTTTTTTTTTTTTTCCTTTTCTTTTCATCCTTTTCTGCTGTTGATGGTGGGGTTTGTTTTGTTTTACTTTTCAAGCCTCATCACCTGTTTCTTGATGTGCGATTTTAACTTGGCACCCCCGACCATTAAGAAGGGTGGCAAGCATTGACTCTAAAACCTGCCTGGAGCACCTCTCATCACAGACAGAGGCATTTACAGTTATCATCTTGGAGTCAGGGACCTCAGCTCTGTGAAGAGTCATATAAATCCACAGGATACTTGCGGGGGGAAAAGGAGTCAGGGATGCAGAGAGCAATGCAAACAAGATCCTTATCAATCCTGAGAATTCTCTTTACAAGTTGTTTGTTTTTTTTTTTTTTACGTGAGAAATATCATCCCAATTAAGACTTAATAGCACAGATATTTTTCACCAACCTCCAAGTTCCTTTTGTGAAGTCACGCTGGCCAGTATGGTACCAGTGTCAAAGAAGTAGTGAAACAAAGTCGTCCCTAACCGCAGGCTGGAGGAAGCCAGAGACAGCAGAAGAGACTTTTCCTGTCAGCCTGCTGTGAGTCGGCAGCAGCGCCTGCATCTGCATCCACCAGGCTTCCCTCAAGACTGCATCTACCAAGGTCTGCAGCTCCTTGACACGGTGCCATCCACGCCCTTCTCTTCCGTAGCAACTAAAATCCACAGATCACCACCTCGTCCATCACAAACCTACACTGAAGGGACCCATCTCACCCTGCATTCCCCACCACTGCCGGGGAGCTCCCCAGCAATAACAGGAGTTCAGCGCTGAGCACCAGGGCTGCAGCCTGCACACACACTCACAGCAGTAGCTATTGAACAGGGAAGTTCACAATAGCATTCAAAGTCTGAGAGGCTGAATTGTTCCCCAAATGAAAAAGAACAAAAACCTGGCACCCAGACAACCCAGGTTTTACAGGAAACCTTCGTGCCTTACAGCCCTGAGTCCAGTAATAATTTCTGTAAATGCTCTTCCAAAACAATGCATTTCAACTTCCAAAGGAATACAGCTGTGGCTGTGAGCTTCAGCAATGCTTGACTTACACAAGTATTGTTCCAACAAGAAATACAGAGTTTATTAAAAAGCAGGATTATAGACCTTTCCAGTAAACCTAAATCACGTTAAGGATTTTGACCTGTCTTCAAAGCATATCAAATGGAAAGTGTAGTCTCATATTTCAGGAGCTACTGACTACACCAGATAGACTAACCACATACTCCTGTTAATGACCAAATTCAATTCCTCTTCTGCTATTCTACCTCATATATTTTAGGTCTATAATAATCTAATTAAGTCTGAGCCACACCAACTTTATGATAGATGAAGGAAGTCCAGGAAGATGTTACATTTTAATTTTATAGCAGTTTGTGTCTATAGAAATTTATAGCACAGTCTCCAGATCAACAAAATTCTGCTACAAACAGCTTAGCCACAAAATACTGCAGACAAAATACCACAGAACAGCTTAAAAAAGAGATTAATCAGGAACTAGTTTATGTATAAGTTTTAACAAAGCCCATGTAACAAAATTTGTAAGTATATATGATGATAATTTATCTTAAAGCAAAAACCTTTCCAGAGCCAAAATGAATTCTCAACATCTTGAAGGTAGACTGATTAAAAAAAAAAAAAATCCAGAGGCACATTTCAAGAGGTTTTCCCTTTTGTTTTTTAAATTTAAAACAACCTTAATATTCAAAGTACTTGGAATAAAAATGCATTGGAATAGAGGGATTTACAATGGCCATCTGTGACTTAATTATTGCTATATCTGTTCAAGGATTGATTAAGCAGTTTAATCAGATGATTCTGTACTCCTGCATGATAAACTATGACAAACTACCCACAGGCAGACCACCAAGGCATCAGAGCCTACTAATAAACATCCTGCTCTACATTCAGAACAGACAAGAGCACCAAAAGGATACCATGAGCTCATGGGAGATTCTTGAGTCACCTTGAATAAAGTCACTCCAATAAAGTGGATCTAAAAAGGCAAACACGGTGACTGTAAAACCACACTGAGGAGGCCACTTTCATGACACTTCCGACTGAGAAGCAGAAAGACACACTTTTACACTTAAATTGTTTTGCCAAGTCAGAACCTGGTTATATTAACCTAAATGCTTCTCAGGAAACAGGCATACAGTTTAAAAGTCTAGGAGAGCTAAAATATTATGCAAACTTGCACTTCACTAACAAATTTAATCTTAGCTGCCTAAAAGTTATGGTACTTCAAACACAGTCTGTATCTTAGAGGCTAAAAAACTCATTATGCTAACTAAATGTAGTGCCACTGTACTAAGTCCCCTCTAAAGCAACAAGCTGCGAGATATCCTAGTTATTTCAAAGAACTCCTCTTAGAAATAGCACAGATTTTGTGGTCAAAAGGAATGACAGTTTCTTCTTCTTGCTATGAGAGTTCAGAATGAGTTTCTAAAATAAAGTTACCTTTTCTAATAGTGACATTAAGATCTTGCAGCCCCTGTGAAATTCCAGAGAAAGCAGGAATTAGTATAACATCTGCTGCCCGTCGCCAGGCATTTCTAAGCAAATTGACTTTATTAAATAATTGGTAACTTGTTTATATTTCTATAGCTTGCTTTAGAAACATTGATTGATTCAAGCAATCCTATTATTTCATTGTCCTATAAACTTGACTGGAGATAAATATGGATTTATGTTCACAGATCAATAGCACCACATTCACAGCAAAAGCCAAAAAACCTTGCCTAGACTAGTCTTGTAGTTGCAGAGAGA